ATTTTTAGCTTTTTCAGTGTCGATGAGATTTGAACTTAGGACCAGTTTCTTGCTTTGATACCATGATAAATTGTTCAACCAGCTTATGTAAAAGTTTTAAGTATTAAGAGATTATGTTGTGGCTGGTGCAATATTTGTGTTAGTATTAATTGATTTTCTTTTTGGTTTTAGGTGAAGCATATGCGTGCCAAGTATGGGGATTACTTTGGGATAACTGTTGCAGGTTATCCAGGTTGGTGGCTACTGCTATCTTGGGCTTTGCGTTGTTTATTTGGACAAATATGAACCATGATTTACTTATACCGCATTAGTCTTTAAAGCAGAAACGAATTCTCATTTTTCTGTTGTTTGTGTGCTGTTACTGAATGCTAATTTGATTCTTTGTCAGAGGCACATCCTGATGTTATACCTGCTAATGGAATAGCTACAAAAGAGATTTATGAAAATGACCTTGCTTACCTTAAAAAAAAGGTAAGTCTATTCCCAGCATTACGTTTTTCATACGATGGATGTAATGCTTGTTGTATTAATCTGGCATCAAAGGGAATATTTTATGTTGCTTTTGATTTGTTTATGAGTTTGAGGTACTTATGTTAACCTGTATTCTACAGGTTGATGCTGGAGCTGATGTTATTGTAACTCAACTCTTCTACGATACTGATGTTTTCCTAAAATTTGTCAATGATTGCCGCCAAATTGGAATTAACTGCCCCATCGTTCCGGGTATCATGCCCATTAACAATTATAAGGGCTTCTTGCGCATGACTGGATTTTGCAAGACTAAGGTATCCCCATATTATGTGTTACATTTAGTAAAAAAAATATTGCTAATTAAGACATAAGTTCTTCATGTTTAATGCTTAAAGGTTGATTAGCAGCTCCTGCATCATAGACACTCAGTTGTCTTTAATTATGTTGTAGATTCCGGAAGAGATAATGGCTGCGTTGGAACCTATTAAGGACAATGAAGAGGCTGTCAAAGCCTATGGGATTCACCTTGGAACTGAAATGTGCAAAAAGATTTTAGCCACTGGCATTAAGACCTTGCATCTTTATACATTGAACATGGAGAAATCAGCATTGGCCATTTTGATGGTTTATTCTCTTACCTTCGAACTTTCTACTTCGAAATTTATGAAACAATCATGATCTATAATATAGGCAAGAATTCAACTTACATTTGTGAGATGTCTTGGATATGCAGAATCTTGGATTAATCGAAGAGTCCAAAATTTCTAGGCCATTGCCTTGGAGACGTCCTGCAAATGTTTTCCGTGTTAAGGAGGATGTGCGTCCTATATTCTGGTATGTAGAGATGTGATTAATGTCTTGAGTACAACTCTTATATTGTGATGATAATCTGATCTATCATCGTCGTAGTTTCTTGTTCTTCGATTTATGTGACTATTTGTTGTTTCTTATACTTCAGTTATCATATTATTTAGTTGTTGTTACTGTTCCTTTCTGTTAGCATGCTATGTAGTGTTTTCCTTATTACTTGCCACAACTTCTCCACTTCCATATTTTCTCTGTCCAAAACTACTTTGAATTGCTTTCCTTTTCTTTCTTTTTTTGAGCTGAGGTCTATCAGAAGCAATCTCTCACCTCTCTACCTCCACAAAGGTAGGGGTAAGGTCTGCATAGACACTACCTTCCCCATACCCCACTTGTGGGATTACACTGAGTTTGTTGTTGTTGTAATCTGATCTGTCATTGTCAATGATGGTAGGGCGAATCGTCCAAAGAGCTACATCTCAAGGACCACAGGTTGGGATGAATACCCACATGGTAGATGGAGCAATGCTCAAAATCCATCATATGGAGCACTTACTGACTATCAGGTAATTGCAACTTGTTCTGTCTGTATAAATATCTCCGGGGCTGGAATAATTAGTTAAAATCATTTACGAATAAATATCTGAAGAGTTGTTTTTAGTACTTTTGGGGTACATATGTTATCTGTGACATAGCTTCTTTTGGACCTCTACAGTTCATGCGTGCACGCTCAAGAGATAAGAAGCTTCAAGAGGAATGGGCTGTGGCTTTGAATAGCGTGGAAGATATCTACGAGGTATGATTTTCAATCTTGTCAAAACCAAAGAATTGTTCCGAAGGCTTGGTACTAACAGAATTTTCACATCAGAAATTCAAGGACTACTGTCTTGGAAAGCTGAGAAGCTGCCCGTGGTCTGAGTTAGATGGTCTTCAGCCAGAGACAAAGATCATAAACGAAAAGTTGGGTCAGGTCAACACGAAAGGTTTCCTCACTATTAACAGCCAACCAGCAGTTAATGCTGAGAAGTCCGACTCTCCTTCTGTTGGTAAGTTTGGTTCCTAAACCTTCCAGCTGCACACCAGGGCAATCATTTTTCTTCTTTTACTTTCAAATGAAGCTTTTATATTTCTTTTTCCGGTTATAGCAACCTTTCGTTGACCGGCTTATTGATCTTTTTCTGCAGGATGGGGTGGCCCCGGCGGATATGTTTATCAAAAGGCATACTTGGAGTTATTCTGCTCTCAGGAGAAGTTGAACGCCCTCGTTGAGAAATGCAAGTCTTTCCCTTACCTAACTTACATGGCTGTAAACAAGGAAGGAAACTGGATTTCCAACGTCAACCAAACCGACGTCAACGCTGTGACATGGGGAGTTTTCCCAGCTAAGGAAATTATACAACCGACTGTTGTTGATCCCGCCAGCTTCATGGTATGGAAGGATGAGGCATTTGAAATCTGGTCAAGAGGATGGGCTCAATTATACCCAGAGACTGATCCATCAAGAAAATTGCTTGAACAAGTATGTATTTCTTTTTTCATACCCTTAACTTTCTTTGTGTCTCAAGTCTTCGATTTAACAACTTATTCTCTTTTTGTTAAGATGTTTGGCTAATTGATTTCTCAGATGATCACTCAACTAACAATTATTATCTCATAAAATCACTTTCTTTGTTGAAAAATATTGGAAGCATGAAGAAATATGACTTTCTGAGATAATAACTATTACTTGATCATCCGAGTAATCAACCTTGTGTATGGTTCAGTACTCACCTTTTTCAACCTCAACCAAATATTCTCCGAACGCCTGTGTTATGTAGCTGCTCTTGTACTTACCGATAAATATGTCTCTTTTGTTTTTTCGTTACAGGTTCAGAACAGTTACTTCTTGGTCAGCCTCGTCGATAACGACTACATCAATGGTGATTTGTTTTCCATCTTCAAGGATATCTGAAATTAACCAAGAAAACTCAGCTTCTCAACCTTTATAGTCCCATTTATTTCAAGAATTTTTACTGGATGTTGTTACTATTATTATTGTTGTTGTTCTGTGTTCTTGTAATAGGAATAATTTAAAGGGATTTGTTCCCTTCAATTTATTCTTTTCCTCTTCAAATTTGATGTACTTTGCCTTTTATGGCTTCAATCTTTACAAATTTATAAGCAAAGCATACTTCCACACCTCTTGTTCTATGTGCAATTATTTATGGATGAGTTACATAATTGGCCGATCGGTTAAAAATTATTATATTCACTAGTTAAATATAAAAGGGAAAAAAGATAAAAATATTTTTGAATTATCGTAAATGGTATGTAGAGTAGATATCTTCTGTCATACTTTTTGGACATCGGTGCCCCTGCCGACCAAAAACTAGAGCATGCCGTTCACTCTAACGGAAGACTAAATAGGGACACGTGGTGCAATCTTATCTGTCGATCCGATATTTAATAAATGTTGGATTGGTGGATAAGATTATGACACGTGTATAACCGTTAATATAAAGGGTATATATGCTCTAATTTTTGGACGGCAGGGGCACCAATGTCCCAAAAGTATGACGGAGGGTATCTGCATGTTATTTACGATAGTTCGGAGGTAAATTTGCCCTTTTCCCATTATAAAAAAATTATACACTATTGTGTATTAAAGAAGCATTTAGTTGGTATGCTTGTTTATCTTTTAAAATTTTACGACTACTTAATGAGTATGAATGTATCTGAATGATAAAGGTCTATAACATAGAAGGTTATCCATCTCTCTCATAGCTAACCATTCTCTATTATCATCATTGTCGCTATTGCTCACCATACTACCCTTCACAACCACACACCACCGCTATCACCGTAGGAAGTCTCACCTTCATTACAATCGTCACTGTCAACCATCATTACTACACAATAACCAATTGCCTTCATCTGCCAACAATATATATCGTCAATCACTATTATTGGTTACTACGTACCACTATCAACCACCACTACTATCAACTATTATTCACAACCACTACCATCACCAACCACGACACTAATTATCATTCAGAATTATCACTGTTAGTTATCATCATACCTTTTTGCTTTTCGAACCTATGATAAAAAAAAGTACTGATTTCTTGGTGCTTTTACAATACCTTGCTCCTTATTCAACATTTTTCCTATAATATATATAATAATAATAATACAAGTATCATTTGCACACAATAAAAAAATAAATTTTTTCTTTCTGTAAGTTTGATTTGTTAATAAAACGGTGAAATCAATATTAATAAATGTTCTAAAAAGAAATTAATTAGAATTATCCCACTAAAATAAATATTTTTTTAAAAAATATATAAAATAGCTAGCCGAATTCACTGTTGAATACCTTATCAATGAGAACTAGTAGAACACAAGATTCTTTTACATAATAGCCGATCGAATTCAATGTTTATTTTTTCTAAAAGAAAAAATGCATAAAAAAATGAAAAAATCAAGACAAAATTCTCTGAAGTTTTTTATTAATACATGAACGCATTATGAAAACAATTAATACATTCATTGATCAAGACTAACTTTTTTATATTTTCAAAAATAAAAAATTACAAACACACACACCCAAAAAAAAAAAAAACTTCTGTTCCACTTGGTGAAAAAGCTTGGCCCCCTTGTAGACTTGATCTCCTCCTTGCTTTTTTTTTTCTTTGCTCAAAAATGTATAAAATTCACAAAATAATATTATTTAAAAAAAAAAATTAATTAGCTTTGTAAGGAGTAGGTTTAGGCATATCCTTAACTATACCACATAATAAATCATTATCAGGCATGTTGTACTCATCTTTAATTGATTTATTTGGAGAAAGGACACTAAAATATAATTGATGTCCCAAATAATTTCTCTCCAATGAATTTGATCTTAAATTCCATAATCCAGCATTGTCAAGTGTTGTCATTATGACTGCAAATGATTTTGGGTAAACTTGGATTGTGTTCCTACTCACAGCATCAAGCAAATTGTAGTTCCTTCTCTTCTCTGGGGTCCACCTCCCTGGTTCAATTCTGCATTGACCGTGTAAAAAATATTTATAAATGTCACATCGACACGAATAAACATGGTAATAAACTTATATAGGTTGAAGGGATGGGGGGGGGGGGGGGGGGGGGGGGAAAAA